ATTGTCACCCGTTTTTTAAACACTGTGTAAATATATGACATAGGAGATACATGTCTGTCAATACACAGATCATTATATTATTTACAAGTATAGAGTATCAGTATATAGGTATATATATGTATATATTCAGAAACAGTTCATAATGGACAGCTGCAGAATTGGAGCAGATTATTATAAAGGCATTAGGAGTCTGGGGAAACTGGGGAACTGCCCGCTCAGTTAAACTTGAGAAGTCCCAGCCACCAGTACAGAGAGGCAGCCCGAGGTGTCCTTTGAATGACGGTGCCCAACTGAAGTCCCATGCTGTGTGCTGCAAACCAAACTCATTTTACTTTCTTCAAAGTGGAGCAAGGACTAGTGAAGGAGTCTGGTTCAGCACAAAGGAGAAGGGGAAATGGCTCTGAAACTAGACTCCACCAAACTACCTCGACAGTTGGTTCATCCAGATCCCCTCTGTTTTTAACAGAGCAACAACAGAATCCTTCAGGCCCTTTCTGTAGAATCCCTGTTAGCTTTCAAGAAGGCCCACTGTGACCCAGGAGAGTTCAGAGGGGAGAGCAGGTGATGTTCCGGGCCCTCAGGTTGGAACTGTGTTTGGGAGGGATGAGACGCACGAGGGTCAGTGGAACAGGAGATGAGAAGCACCAGGAGACAGGGCTGCGGCCTGCCTGGCGCTGTCCCTGGTGCTGAAGGCTGTGTTTTCAAGTAATCTGCATGGTTAGGAAGGGAGCCCTGACAACTAACTGCTACAGGATGGTACTTAGTGAGTGACCCAGAACCTGCTCATCACCGGGGTCTGGAACTTTTCACCATTTACACTTTCCTTTTTTCTTGCACAGTTGGAAATCTTTGATTTGATCAGGGTCTCATTTCAGACTTCAGTATGAGAGCACAAAGCGGGCCTGTATGATTTGGCTAAAGTGATATTCGCTGAAGGCCCAGAAAGTACTAGAAGGACTATGGCATTAGTCATGGAATTAAAAAATTCTATACAAGGGATAGGCTCCTCAGAACAAAAGAGAGCTTTACAAAGCTAGTGATTCATTTGGAAGACAGAATTTATCATTTTTGATCAAAACGTCCTTCCTCTGCATCCTGAGCTCTCTCCTCTCTAAACTCCTAATTCACAAGAGATCTGTAGCCCCATCTCATCAGAAAAGTGTCTGCTCTAGCAGTTTGAAGTTCTCTGATTCCTCTCTGCAGTAGCAATGGCAATACAGAAAGATAACCATTCCAAGTATTGGTTTTATGACATGTTTCCAAGTTGAGAAGGGAAAAAAATTAGGGAAATTCCATTTCAGCACTTTGTGTTCCCTGTCCCATAGAGAGAACTAATCTGTTTCATCTCTATTTGGAGAATATATTCATTCAGATGCTGCAACCCAATTATTAATGTGACCATAAAATTATCAGTGAAGCCAAACCCTACAGCTTGGAAGCTTCAAGGACAATTAGATGGATTATCAAAGCAATAAGCACAATGGATTACATAGTTTTAAGCTCTCTATTGAGAACACCCTTGTGCCTAATGAAATTTTAGCAGGCATACCCTGATTGGCAGTAGCTGCCTGCGAATTAACCACGTGACACAGGTCAGCACTTTAAATTTCATCGACAAATGGATGCTGACCTCCATGGACTTTCAATAAAAGACAAGACCCTGAACGAAACCTTAGAAACCTCCTAGAGGGTCTCTCTGGGAAAGGTTCATGGTCATGAAATCCTGAAAATACTTCTCAAAAACAGGGTAGAAATTTCTCCTTTCTAATCGGCAGGGGGCAGGGGGAAGTGACCACAGGGACAGGACGACTCCATACAAAGCAGCAGCAGGAAGTCCTTTGCTTCTGACCAGCAGACATTAGCAAAAGCATGCCATTTCCTCAGGAACAGGTGAATTGGGTTGGGTTGTAAGTAAAAACAGCAGGAGAAAGGAAAGTAAATGAAAATCATGTTACAGAAGGAGAGAAATGAAAAGTCAAAAGAAGTGTTTCCATGTCTTTCCATCACGTATTAAAAAAACTGTCACAGATTCCCATTCAATTAAAAAAAAATAATGTCCAAAGGGCCTTCCGTTCTAGGAGCTCTGTGCTCATGTGCTCTTACTTGCTGTATCTATTCTAGAACACCAGCCTTTTGTTCTTGTCCTACAAAAAGGACATCATTCCCATTGTAGGGTGTTAAAATCCGATGGTCCTTCTGTTTGCAACACTCAACCGTGGGTCATCAGACGCCTGACTACATCTTCATTGTAATTCAAAGCCACCCCTTCACAACACTTCCTTAACACTCAGCACTATCAAGAGGTCTCTAACCATTCAGGCATTCACTCATTCATGCATTCATTCATTCCCATGTGCACTGATGTGTTGCCCATCTGCCTCTCCCATCCTGCTGTACGCACTCTATCTATTCCCAGATGTTTCCTCTGCAGTCAGAAAAATTGCCAGACACTCAGTAGCACTTAATACCTATTTCTTACTGACTGTAACGGTGAATATGTGTGCCTTCTACAAAGTGATTAAAATACAATCTTTTCAGGAAGAGCATTTAAAAAAACAGTTTCTTACTGAGGAACTTGAAGGTCCTGGAAGAGAGTAATCTTGTGCATTTCAGGTGCCTGAAGCCTTTGTCCTGCCATTGCCAGGTTCATTGAGTAGCCCAAGCTGCCAATTACACACAGAGCAGAACACAGTCCCGAGACACAAGCAAGGTGACAGGGAGCATGAGGGCCTGGGGTTGGAGAATAATGAGATCCTGGACCTGAAATGCGACCGCGTTCTCCTCTGTAAAACACCACTAGCAAAATTCATCAGAAGACTAAAGGCTCTAATGCATGTGAAACGATGAGGAACCCTGGGACATGGGCAAGGAAGGGGTGTTGGGGGTGATGAGGCTTCTGAGAGATCTGTCTTAAAGTCCAGGGCAGGACGGCGTCTGTAAGCCCAGGAGTCACACTTTCCTCCCCGACCAGAAAGAGTGCCACCTGGTAATGGTTAAGAAATACTCTTGGATCTGCCTGCTTTATTACCTAAAATGTGGCTATAAGCAGCCCCCCAATTAGTCTGCACTGTCTGCTGGCTGGTGCTCACTAGCACAGCACGACAGCAGAGCAGCAGGTCACCCGCAACCCAAGCCAGCAGTTCAGCTACACATTCAGCATGGAGCATGTCCCTGCTGGGACTCAGGTTCAAGGACTGCACGACAACTATGGTCGTAAATGAGCTCAGGGCCAACATCCAGTAGAATAAGCTCTTGGAGAGAGGCAGGATATACATGTGAGGCCTGGGGGAAGGGAAAAGGCTGATGTCATCACAGTCAGGGGGTGGGCAAAGCTAGAGCCGGGTGAGGAGGTCCAGGAGTGATGCGTTCGTGGGGAATGAATGGCTAAGAATGAAAAATTACCATGTCTGGGGAAGAACCCCAGGATGAGGAAGGCAGAGGCTACCATCCTCCTCCCTTCTGCAAAGCTAAAGGGGGAATGGAAAGGCCAAACGTGGGTACCCAAAGGCACCCCATATGGTGTGACAATAGAAAACAAGGACATAAACGCAGCCAGGCTGTGATTCTGATGCTGGTTCAAAGATAACGAATCCCAGGAGATGCTTAGCAGCACTCTGGGCAGTGTGGTCACTTCATCACAAACACACTGCAGAATTCAGAGGTCATGTCCGAGTTTACTAAGCCCACTGAGATGATCTTGGCATTGAGTAGACAATCCTTTTGTCAAATGTTTATGTAATGCAAAATATAACGAGAAAAACAAAAGTTATTTTCCATTTAAAATCCATGGTGCATACGAGAGCAGTTGACAAAGCGAAGGTGATGAAAGTATTGACTAGCGATGTTGACAGAGCATTTGTGTGCACACGGTTACCGTGCTGAGGGAGTCCACACACGTAAATTTGCCCCCGAAGTATTTATAAGCCAATTCAGATGGACGCTCTTCTCCTGCCACAAATTTAACAGATTCTGGTTATCATGTTTGTTCTTGGGTACAAAATAATATCCAGAAGAAGCACACCTGCATGTTAAAAATATCAGAAAGGGAAGGTCAGCCAGAGTATTAGGAGGATCGTGAAAGCCCAAAGCCAACACCTGCTGGTGTCTTCAGTCACTGGGCCAAGGAACAGTCAAGGCAACACTGGCCTGGTGAAGAAAGTCCTCTTCATCAGAGCTTTCAGCTTATACAACCTTCAATTTTGCTTTTATACTTGGGAGAGAGTTAGCAACCTCCCCCGGCAAAAGCCAAATCTGCCTGGCTTAGGAGGGCTGGCAGGACTCTCCAGAGCAGGTAGCCAGAGGACGTTAGTCAGAAGTCACTGCGATGGCAGGAAGCCCGTCTGCCCCAGGGGTCAGCAGGTTTTTTCTCTCGCTGGGATTTGCAGATCAAGAGGCAATGACAGGGATATGTTCTACATATTTCCATAAAGTTTTTCACAATTGTTATCAGCAAAATTGAAAAATTTAAGACATTGAAATGCAAATTTCAGATAATTTCCATGTGTCACAAATATTATTGTATCTGTTTTTTTCTGTTTTCAAGCACTGCAAAATGTAAAATCCATTCTCAGCTTGCTGGACAAAACCAGGTATGAGCAGGATTTGGCCTGTGGGCAAGAGTTTGCTATTCCCCGTTCTAGCAAAAGCAGGCCATTGAGTCAGTTGGTTTTTCATCAGTTTCTTTAAAACACCATAAATCTAAAGCTTCCCTGAAACATCCCAAATTCCCTGTGCTCATAACAAAATCGGATTATTTACTTCATCCAGTAGCTCATGTTCACATTCTAAACTTATTTAAATACCAGCTTAGATGTAGGTGTTGTAATGGCTTTGGACCATAGAGGCGGGGACAGGTGTGACATGGGAAACACACACTAATCACTTTCCATGACTGTGACGAGCTTAGCATCGGGAAAGCATCTGACGTGAGGCATGTCTGCTCCGTGAAGCCAGCGACCCCCCGCCACCACTTAGAATGCTCTCCTGTTCTTACCTTGTAGGCTTTCATATCGGACGGGGCAAGACACAGCTAACTGTGACACCTGCAGGAACAGTGCCTGCATTATTTACAGGTATGTGAACGTTCTCCTCTTCCCAGTTGTTTTATATCATGAGTGACGAATGATGTTTACCCACAAATGCAAGAACCATCTGGGGCCGTGCTGGGGTGATTCTATCAGATGGAAAGCAGAGGACCATACTTGACCCTAACTTAGGGTGACCAGACGTCCTGCTTTTGGCGGTACAGTCCCACTTTTCAACAATTTGTCTCGCGTCCCGCAGCATTTTTAAAAAGTCCCGATTTTTGGAAAGAATACACGAACAGGCGGGAGAACAAGAAGGGAATATACGGTTTTCGGCTGCCATGTGGCTATTTTGCCAGAATATGAGTTTTATATTATTTTTGTTAATTTTATAATGTTAAACTGTAATAATAACAAATAATTGCTGAGAAGTGATTATCGAGAACTGCTTATCAAAGTCTGCATTGTTGTCAGGCCTTGCCCTGCTCCGTCCCCCCCCCGCCCCCCCACCCCCCCACCATGTTGTCCTATCTTACCAATGTTAAAATCTGGTCACCCTACCCTAACTGTAAGTGACCTCTAAAGACTCCACCCCAGACGTAGCATCAGGGGTGCTGGAGTCCTGGCACCCATTTATCTTGCAAATGCATCTTAGTAGTTCTAAGAATCGGGGTAAGTTGGATAGCCTGCCCTGTGGAATCCCCAGCCCTGGGCGCTCCATTGTGTGTTCTGAAAGGCTGTAAAACATAAGCCCTTCAGAGGGTATAGATCAAAGGCTTGAAACCACACCATATGTGCTAGGGATACCAGGGAAGGATGGGGCTGCTCACACCAACCATGCAATTTATGTCCTGGGAGTTCACAAGGACGGTGGCACTGGGCAGCGTCTCCTCTCTAGAGCCCCTACAGCTGTTGCTTGTGTTTTTTTCATTTGAAATTTGTTTACACTACTGACATCAATGAGAACACAGCAGAAATCTCCAACAGGCAGAAAGCTGTGTTTGGCTTTTACCAGCTAATTTAGGATTAAAGATAATGGTCAGAAATCTTCAGACCAGTTGCTATTTGTTTATTTGAAATGTGATTTTCACAAAGTACACAGTACAAAAGCAATGAGAAGTGTAATGATTTTAATTCACTAAAATTAAAACTGAAGAATAATTGTTAATGATCTGCCAGATGATCAAAAAACAGCTATAACTGAACAGTTACATGTATCTAAAAGTGAAGGAAGCCGTCCCCTCGTCCCCACAAACCACCCTCTGAATGGCTCTTCAAAATTAGTCATTTACATTAGAGGGACGGGGAATGGCAGGACACTTGGGGCTGCAGGACCTTAGATCCGTCACGTTTCTTTCCCAAGGGAAAGCATGGATTTGGACACGTGTGTCTCCACTCCAGGCAGAGGATCACGGGGCCCAGGTTCTTTAAAGCAGAGTAGGGCCACCTGGGGACCTTGCCTGGGAGCAGACAGAGCGAGCACAAGGTTGACGTGAGCAGTGCGTGCCCCTGAGCACATCCCTTCCTGCCAAGGTTCTCAGCCAAGGGGACGTCTGGTTGGATCGGCATGGACACATTTTCAGTTGTCACAAATGGGAAGGTGCTGTGATCCCCTGGTAGGTGCAGGCTAGAGACGCTGCTGGCATCCGGTGCTACAGGACTAGTCCCACATAATAGACTCAGCCAGCCCAAACTGTCAGCAGTGCTGAAGCTGAAAAGGCCTTACCTTCCTGGAACCATCCCCACCCTCAGGTCTGATCAGGCATCCTGGCAGGTGGCAGGGAGCCAGACCCCTCCACCAGCCCTGGAACAGCATGTGCTAAGCTGCGGATTGTTCTGGGCTGTGGCCGATGAAGAGGTTGAAACCAAGCATCCATGCACATCTTCCTTCAGGAACCCTCCCTGTTACAGGCTCAGGGATAGCAGAGTTTGTATCCGAGAAGATGACTTCATGGGAAACTTCTTACTGTGTTCATACCATGGAAGAGAATTCTGAAGCAATAGTGAAGGGCTGGGCTCTGACATAAAACACTAACTTCAGTAAAGTAGAAAAAGGAGTGAAGAAGGTTGACAGCCCGGCATGTCCTCAGAGGTCAGTGTTACTTTGGTGAGCGGCCCGGCGTGTCCTCAGAGGTCAAGGTTACTTTGGTGAGCGGCCCGGCGTGTCCTCAGAGGTCAGTGTTACTTTGGTGAGCGGCCCGGCGTGTCCTCAGAGGTCAG